GGGGGGGGGGGGGAGAAAGAAACAGAGCAAAACATCAATGTGAAAGAGAACATTGATCAGTTCCTTCCGTGTATTCCCGACTGAGGATTGAACCCACAACCGAGGTATGTGCCCTGACTGGGAATGGAACCTACTTGAACCCACAACCGAGGTATGTGCCCTGACTGGGAATGGAACCTATCACTTTTCAGTGCACAGGACAAAGCTCCCACCAACGAAGCCACACTAGCCAGGGCCTGGAATATTCTCTAACTTATCTGGACCCTTGAGTCAGGACCAATTTAGGGTTTGGGGGTTTTTTTGTACTTTCATAGTGTCCCCACCTCCCGGGACATGTGTCTGCCTAGATGAGTTACCAATATGACCCTGCTCAACGGGGACTGGGAAGGGCAGCTGGGCTCGCCTGCCACCTGCCCCACCAGTGCCCCCTGAGGCTCAGCTCCAGATGGGGGCACAGATCTGTGGAGCATGTCTAGCCGCTGCGGCCCCAGAGCGGGGCACAGAGCCCACAGGGCCAAGAGAGCAGAGGCCTCGGCTGAAAGCCATGTCCTTCCAGGCTGGCCCAAGAGCCATGCCCACCCCCATGTCCCCGAGCCCCGTGCCAACTCACTCCCGAATCTCATCAATGATTTTCTGCTTCTCCTCAATTTCATCTCGAAGTCTGGACAGCTGCTTCTGGTGAGCCTCCCGGTGGCTCTCCATCTGCTGCTCCAGCGCCTTCTGCAAGCCAGGCCAAGAGAAGTGTGTCATCCACTCGTTGGCTCCCAGCCCACACTGTGACAAGTCCTGGATCTCTTCTACCTCCTACCCCATCCCCCTTGGCTGTCAGATCCCCAAACTGGGGCCCCCAGAACCTGCCGTGCTTCACTGAGACAAAACCCAAGGATCTGTTACAAAATTGAGTAGATCATAAGAGCAAAGTCACTCATTAATTGAATAAAAAGGTTTTCCCTGGCTTTCTACAGCTCCCCTGAGCTACATGGCAGGTCAATCCAAGGGCACAGACCTCTTACTACCTGGATGACCTCATGCCACGTGTAGCCTGTGAGCTACACTTCCTCTCCTGTACAGCTTAGATCACTGTCCCCGCCCTGCCCCCTGCACAAGTCTATGGGGATGTTCAACGGAGACCTTTTCAGCAAAGCGACGTAGAGTCAAGAGAGGGGCCACCAAGGTGAGGCAGGGTTTTGCTGTGGCTGGAGCAGGTTCCTGCCAGTGTTCAACTATGGGTTTATCCCCAGTGGGGCTCATGGTTTGCCTAAAACGAATAAAAATTCTACATTTTCTCATATCTCATTTTATTCACCTAAAAATCTTATTTGCCAATCATTTTTCTTACATTTTTCTTTACTGTTTCAAATGTAACCAAAAATAAAGATCTCTGTGTTTAAGATGGGAATTTGAATTTGGGGTGTTTCTTTAAAAGACAGAGGGAGGAGATGTTTTCTTCCATTCGAAGGAAGGACAGGCGCCTCCTGGGGAGTTAGGCCGAGCGCGTGGCCCGCGCTGGGAGGCGCTGCTCTTTCCACCTCCGTCAGGAACGGGAAAGGAAAAGGTATGGACGCCACATAACTGTTACCCACGGACATCTCAGGGGTTCCCACCTCCCTCCCCAGCTGACTTCTAAACCAGGCCGCACTCGGACGGTCCCCGACTGCGCAGCATGGCCCCCTCTGCCCCACATCTCGGAAGGAGAGACTCTCCTAGACCGAGGCCCGGTCCAAACGCTCACCTTCATCTCCTCGGCATCCTGCAGCCGCGTCAGATGCTCCTTCTCCTTATCTTGGAAGCTGACTTCATGCATCTTTTCTGTGTTTTGGGGTTTTTTTTAATTGATTTTTAGAGAGGAAGGGAAAGGGGGAGAGAGAGAGAGAAACACTGATGAGAGAGAAACGCTGATCGGCTGCCTCCTGCGTGCCCCCTACTGGGGATCGCGCCCACAGCCCGGGCACGTGCCCTGACCGGAATCGAACTGTGACCTCTTGGTTCCTGGGGCGATGCTCGACCACTGAGCCACACCGGCCGGGCCATTATTTCTGTTTTGACTTTTAAATGATGGTTTAAGTTTTAACTGGAAGGACTCACACCCAGCAGTAAAAATTAAAAAACAAAAGCAGAAGAACGGCGATGGCAGGAAACATCAGCTTATGTCACCAGTTACAAGCATGGTACAAAGAAATGTCTGTCTCGGGGAGGACTTCTGGCTGACGCAAGGCTGACCGCTCCTGGGACATTACCTAGGCCCCGGGGGGAGGGGCAGGTGCACAGGGAAAGGTGTTAATTTGGAGCGGGCCATTCTAGACTCACTTGGACCTCGCAGCTGGGAGTACTGGCTCCCACCTGGCCTGGTGAGTGACCCCAGGCACAAACGTGCTTGTGGATTAGGAGCATCCTGTGTAGATTGCACGGCACAATGCGGATCTGAGCGGCACTAGATTGATGCCCGTTAGGGTTCCTGAAGATCTAATTTACCTCCCACGGTACACTGTCTATTCTCTAAGGATCTGGAATAGGAAAACAATCTAAGGGTAAGAACAAAGAAAACAGAAATATAAAATAACGCTCTCCAGATTAACAGGAAGGCCCCATATCTGGGGCAGGGCTGCTGTGTGAC